TGCTGCACAAACACATCTCTCTTGGTTTTCAGATAGGTCGATAGATTTCCATAACAACAAAACTCCACAATGACCATGAGTGGACCTGTACACACACAAAAAACTAAAATTAGCTAAATATTAAATATTCAAAAGAGTTGACTTTAAAATAGCTGGGAAATTATTCAGTTCAACTAAAAGTAGCAGAGACTTAAATGAAAAAGCAAGTGGGTGACAATAAGCTAACCAAAATAAGTAAGAATTTTACAAAAGCAAAAACAAACCTAATGTGAGCCAAAAGTACCTCAAGTGTTAGCCACGAAATGATGAAAAAGAAATTGTGTAAATGTTGTCTTCCAAAAAAGCACAATACTGAAATAATGATGTGTAGATGAATTTAAAAAATAAATAAAATCAAAACAGTCGAATTAACCGTAAATCCACACTGATATTTGGAAGCTGAAATATGTTTTTGTGAACACACACCTCCTGGTTTGGTGCAGGCTCCCAGCAGGTTGACCACATTCAGGTGGTTGCCAATGTAGTTGAGGATCTTGAGTTCAGTCATCAGGGCTTTGTGTTCGCTGTCTGTAGCACCCTCTGGTGGACAAAGGGTGGAAAACAAAACATTTGGCACAATAGTTCTTGTTCAGAATACTTTGTATTAGACCTCCAGGGACACTGTCTGGTACCTTTGAGCATCTTCACCGCCACGGTGCTGCAGCTGGTGGCGCTGTCGATACCGAACGCAGATGCCTGCATCACTTTACCAAAGGCTCCACGGCCCAGAGGTTTCCCTGTCACACAGAGGAGGAAGGTGATGCTGGTGGTGGAAAAGGGCAGCTGTGTGTTTCCTTGGCTAATTAAGCAACATTATTAATTAGGATTGTCGCCCACCCGCGGATGTGGGATGTAGATGGGAACTTTGGAGATTTTGGAGTCTTATTGAGTCTTTGGACCAAGTCTATCTGAGAGCATTTCCATCCTGATGAGAGCGAGGCCTGATTAGCTCCAGTAAACACAGTTCCCACACCCCCTGGTGGAGCTGATTAACTCCGCACAGACAACACAGACCCAGGGTCTGATTAATGGAATGGCAGACCCTCCCAGTAATGATCTGATAAGACCTATGAGAAAGTCTTCATATCTGTTGAGTCATCTTATAAACCTCCCATCATTTCCACCACATTCCCAAAAATCGAAGTCACTCGTGTTGCTTTTTGTCTTGTCTGGTTGGGAAATAAATGATGATTTGTACCTAATTGGAGTCGCTCTCGAGGAAACTCCCACTGGCTCTGGTCGTACTGCAGTCTCTCACACTGCTCTTCCATCGGCCCTTCTCCGGTGTTCAGGATGATTGACAGGTACTCCGGTTTGGAACGTGAGCTGCTGGACTGCTGGGAGAAATAGTTTGTAGAAATAAAGAAGAAACAGAAACATCCCTTCTTTTGCAAGAGGAAAATCAAAGCATGACAGCTGTCAGTAACAGAAGAAAAAGTTTTTCTTTTTTTTATTATAAATAACCATTTTATTTAATGTTTCCCTTCAGGTATTCAGGCTATTTTATTCTAGGTACGCAAAAACAGTTCTTGAAAACATGCAGTACTACTTAGTAGAGCTAAGTAATCCCTGCAAAGAAATGCATGCATTACCGACAGTGTATGCATTGGGCAATCAAACTAATTAATATAGCACCCCCGCAGGGCAAGTAGGGGCCCTACATGTTCTCTCTTTAACAACACTTGGGTGAATTCCCTGTACTCTCTGCCCTCAGTAGGTTGCACATAAACACTTTGTGTAATCTTGGAATGTTCTGAGTCAAAATGAAAAGTCTTGAAGAGGAAGTTAACACGAGAAAGAAGTGAGACCTGAGTAATAACCATTAGTTTTGTTATGTCTATTCATAATAAAGGTGGAATACAGTTTGAAGAAAACAAAACAACAACAAAAAAATAAATAAAAAAAATTCCTCTCACCTGCTTCAGTTTACGTATAAAGAGCGTGAGCAATATCCACAGAAGAGTGGCCATTACACAGGTACAGACCAGAGGGGGGATTTCCAAAATGGAATTCTCTGAGGTACCTGTTAAAAACACGCACAAATGTCAATGCATCAGTTTAATATTTTTCTACTTCTATCTTAAAAATGTTTTACTCTCTTTAGCCACTGGCTCTTATAACCCAACACTTCTCTGAGATTTGAATACACGTTAAAACAGTTGGTTCACTGAAAGGTTGGACATTTCTCAATGGCTCCAGCTGGGGGCAGTGTGTTTTCACAAACACAGAATGATTCAGAAACAATAGCTACAGCCCTCCTTCCCACCCCTACCCCCTTCTCATTACACACTTCTTTTTTTTCTTTTTTTAAGGAAAACATGTAGAGATGCCCATTGAAGTGCGACCCACACGGAGCTTCCCTGACATGCGAGCCAGGCCCTTCCAGAGGAAATAAAACTGGGAGACAACTTCCTTCCTGACGGATCAGGAACACAACAACAATACACTACATGTTTGTCTCCATGTAGTTGCCAGGACACCTCAAGACCTATCGAATGTCTTTAACCTTCACAAATAAACGGCATCACTTAAAGCGACTAAATTTCACCCTAACCTTCTGACTCCAACTCTAACTAGGATCAAGACAAAAACAAACTCTCCGTGGTGTGAGGCCTGAAAAACATCCTCATAATAGTTTAAAATCATCAGAGTCAATCAAAGGTGGTCCGACACTCACTGTTGACCCATATATGGGCAGAGCTCTCCACAGATCCTCTGTCATTGGTGGCCTCACATGTGTACAGCCCCTGGTCCTCCACTGTGATTCGGTCAATATGTAAAACCCCAGCGTCTGGTGATATGGCGATGCCTTGAAGAAAGTGGCAAAAATAAAAATAAAAAAAGTTCAGAACCAGGAATCAAAATATGCATGCACATCTGTTTACTTTTCTTTTTTTTTTACCTGATCCTTGTGTCAGAGCATGTTGGTCTTTGTACCATGTGACAGTCGGGGGTGGGACGCCCTGAGATGGACAGTGGAGGGTCACTGAGCTGCTGATGTTGACTGTACAATCTGTCAAATTAGTCAGCAGCACCGGGGGCTCTAGGACTGAAGACACACACACACACACACAGACAGATTTAAAAAAATTCTCATTTAGATTCTCTATAAAGTTTTTATTTTGTTTTCATAAAAAGACAATATTTCTTTCCAAGTACCAAATTATTATTGCACCAAATTATTTCCTGCTAACTTTGTGGGGGGAAAAAACAAACAAACAAACAAATTCCAGGGTCTTTACAAAACAAGAGGATTTAAGTCAAAGAAACGAAGGCCACTGACCAAACCTGTGCAGTTATTTATATTTATAGACCAGAAGAGACTTTTGTGATGGAGGGAATCAGTGTTTTTTCTTCCTTCCTGGACCAGCGCCACTTTTGTGGCACTGTGACACATTTCTGTAGTGACCTTAAGCTCAACCTGTGACTCAGCTGAAGTCTGGGATCTGGAAAACCTTTAAAAAACAATACAAACCAGTTCCTAAAAAGCAGAGTTTTTTTTTAATCATTACTGGTCAACGAGTGCACACAGTCAGAGCCCCGCCCTGGCTTTAACTCTGCTACACTAAAATTAGATCAGATGTTTCCTTGAAGTTCCTTGACCACAGATTTTAATAACCCTATACTCCCCGTCTTTTTCGTAAGTCGGGCTCTGGTCACCTTGTCTCTCTAGTAATTCCCTTGTGGGGTCCCGAGGGAGGAAGTTGTCATGTTGGGGCCTGATTGTATAGAGAACAGCAGTAAAGGACATGAAGAGAAGTCACTTAAGCAAAGGCGACTGATTGTTGTTTCCCCTATCTTCCTCCTCGACAACAATTGATGATTGTCTGTGGGGGCTGGGGCCTGACAGTGTCTGATTGGCTGATTGTTCCCCCGGCCTTGTGTAGGAGCCTGCAAATGTGGCATTGTGGGAAGTGCCATTGTGTGCTCTTCCTCCAGACAAGAGCTCATTCCCACGTGAAAAAAGAGGTGCAGAGTCGGAGCACAAGAGCAAAGGCAGGGTGGGGCCCCAGGAAACTGAGGGGTTTCGATTCCCAAGCAGTAAGACTCTGTGAGAGTTTGAAGGGGTTTGCACGTATGTATGTATACACTGGTCCCTCTCCTATCGCGGGAGTTGCGTACCAAGACCCACCGCGAATTGGCAAAAATCGCGAAGTAGAGGCGAGATAGTTTTTATAATATATACGTATATATTTACCAATTACGAACCCCCCCACACTGTTATCAACCCCCACTAGACTGTAACACTCTCTCCCGCAGAAAGATGCTACGATGCATGAACCAATCAGAGTAAGGAACAGCAGAGCATGATCAATTAGCCCAAGTCAATTGGCATGCTCAATAGTACACCAAGTACGCATTGTATTAGCCAAGAGTATGTTGTGTACGATCAAGTCTGGGTAAACAAAGTTACTAGCGATTGTTCGCAAATGAGCTAATCTCAATGTCAAAATGAGAATCTACATTTTTAAAGTATGTATAATTATTTTATAATGACTTTATTTTTGCTATATTTTGTGATATTGCAAACATTTTGCCATATCTTGGTTATAAATAAACAAAAACATTTTGCAAAGAACATTTTTGAGCAGAAAGTGTTAAAGAAACTGACATTGTTCAATTAAAGCCAAAACATTTTGGAAAATATTTCCTGCGATTCAAAGATAAATATAACTCACCTTTGACCTTCACCTGTGTGTCCCGATGAGTTCTCCGTCCAGTGATGAGGTGTCGGGCGGAGCACCTGTAGATCCCAGAGTCTCTGGCCGTCAGGTTTCTCAGCAACAGCTCCAGGGAGTTGGAATACACCCCCTCTGTGAGCCGACGGTCTCCGGCCAGGACGCCTCCTGTGTTATTGACTCGCTGCCACTTCAACGCCGTAAACAGATACTTATTGGCAACGCAGGTAAGGTGGAGGTCACCGCCCTCTATTGGTTCCTCTTGCTGGTTTAGACTAATGTCTCCTGAGGTGTCTGAGAGGAAAAGGAAGAAATAAAAGATGAATTGGGAGGAAGGTAGAAGAAGTGAACAGGAACATGGAATATAAACCACCTGATTTCCCGTTTGACGAATACGCCTTCTCAATATTTTTAGTGAGTACTTCCAGATCCCGCCAGAAACTCACACCTTAGAACCGATTCCACCAAACTTCCACTTCTGTAACCTTTGATGACAATGTTGAATAGCTATTGTCGGTAAAAGCAGCGAGTGGATTTTAGCGTAAAGCCTTTTTATTTACTTAAGCCTTTTGAAACTTCCCGTGGAAACGGCTCAAGAGTTTCCTGATGGCAGATAGTGTTTATCTTTCCCGAACACCCAAGGCCTCCCAAAATAAAGTAGACCTGCCATTCTGAGGAAGCTTGCTGCACGGGGAAGTGGAACGATAAGAGTTCCAGCTTCCTGTTCCGCTCCTGCTCACAGAAACATGCACACACAAAAACTGTTAACCTAGTTTGGTAGTTAAGCTGCTTATCAAACACACAGAACAATTAAAGTACTGCACGTACAGCAGCTCTCGTGCCAAGTATTTTAACCTAGATTTATATTTGCGTTTACATTGGACACACATCAAGATTTTGAATAGTGTTTGTGTCGTGTTACCGATTATTAAGTAAAAGATTATTAGAGTAAAAAAATGTGTTTTTGTTTCTACAGTAATAGAACAATAAGCAACTTTTTTACTAAAACTTAAATTATTTTTTTTAATAATTCTTGTCACAGATTTTGCTATATGTAATTTTTAAAATTAAATCAATCTATTTTTTTGCTAACGTTACCACTTTTTTGTTAATTTATTTATTGTTGCTTTTTTGCGTATTTAAAAATAATAGCTATCTTTTTGGCTCACATCAACATTTCTGTGCGTATTTGATCATGGAAACTTTTAATAATTTAGGGACAAATTTAGTATTTTCTAATTAATTGTATAATTAATACAATACAATTAATTATTATTAATCAATTATATATTATTATTACAACAACCCACATGGTTGTTGTAAGATTTTTTTAACACTCATCAGTTTCCATGGTTTTGTTGCTGCTTCTTCACTGCACCTCATCAGTCTGGTCATCACCTGTGATGTAGAAGTGGATGTCAAGCTGGTCCGAGCCGACAGAGTTGGAGGCAACGCAGCGATACACTCCAGGGACGAAGGCTTCTGCCACGGTCAGAACCCCCACTGTCTACGGAGAGCAAAAACATCCGCATGAGACCACCGGACCACTTAACACACATTTTCATCACACTCATTACATTGACCACTGACGGCAGGAATTGTATTTTTCAATCGGCCACTTAAGAAGACAATAGGGGTGTCTGAACTAGATCTCCAGCCAATCAGTGGGCAGCATTAAATGTAAACTGCTGATTTGTTGTTTTTAGTCATGTAGACCAGTGATTCCCAACCACTGTGCCGTGGCACACTACTGTGCCGTGAGAGATCATTAGGTGTGCCATTGAAAATTGTTGTTAAATTCACTTAATTGGGCTGAAAACCTGTAAAATTATTTATTGATTGCATATAACTTTTTCAAAAGGCAGAACGATTATATACTCTTCTGCTAGGTGGCAGCAGATGGCTATGAAAACTTAAAAAAAAAGATCTGAAAAGAAAATCAGAGCTGTTGAAGAAGATCTTTGTGAGTGTCTTTCTTCAATTCCTGCCAGTATATCAGCATCGTCTTCAACTAAACAGGCTGATATTTTAGTCAATTATGAGGTCATTTTAACTGGACGATTATATTTAATTACATATACTTTTTCTCAAACTCATTTCACAGTGTGTCAGTGGTCTGTTGTACATTTGCATCAAAATATCACAGACATATTTCAAAATACATCTTCAGTTTATTTAGTGTGTGTCTGTCAGCGTTCTACGCACCCGTTCCTTCCCCTGCAGCACTTCCTGTCTGTGAGTAACACTCAGGATGGGGTTGTATGCGGTCTTGTTGGGAGGATTCTCCATCACAGCGCGCCATAGCGGGGAGGACGTTGGACACACACACCTTAAAGCAGGAAGATGAGGAGGAGGAGGAGGTAGACATAAACTCAGCTGTGTTGACAAAAGTCTGACTCCAGATGTGTGTGGGCGTGTGCTCAGCAGGAGGAAGAGCACAATTCCAGGAGAATGCCTTGGAATGATATGCTGCTTTATGTTATCTTCACCATCAATCACATCATCACCATCATCACCATCATCATCATCATCAATGCTGTAGTCACCAAGCCATTTTTATCCATAGCATCACATCCTTTTCTCACACTACAGTGGATCAGTCGGGTGCTATGTAATGCTGAATTGTTCACAAACTGAGGATGCGGAGCTGGTATTGTCATTCTGTGGATCTACTTCCTTGCATTCTTAACAAATCATCTCATATTTCCAGGTTTGGAGTTCCTGCCCGTGTCAGTGACTCTTACAAGTTTAAAAATCAATAGATCACAGACTGGTGGAGCTGTGGGAACTGGGTCTTACACGCGCTGCTTTTGTTGCTTATTTATGCACAAACAACACATCAGCCGGGCAGTGGCTAAAAAACTATTTATAACTCTCACGATAGATGTCGAGTAACGCAAAAAAAAAAATCAGCTGCATAAACAGATATCGTACTACATACTGTGCACAACAGTTGGTCCTCTTAAATCTTCAACTGTGGTTGAAAAAAGGTGAGTTCTGGGTCTGGTAAAAATTATTTAAAATCAAAGGGATCAAGAAAAACATATTTAACTTATTCTTCGGCTTTATTATAAGTCAATCACAAAGCTTTAGTCAGAACTAGGACTACCTTTGTTTTAATGTACACTGTGTAAAACATTGGTTCCCAATCTTTTTCGGCCATTAATTCAAATTAAATTAAATTTGCAGTAACTCAATAACACACAAGAGGGGCCCACCCCCCACCCTGGAAACTGCTTTAAGTCACTTCCCTAAGTCAGGTGGTGAAGTTCCATTTCATTATGGTTAATGTCAGCAGTTTAGTGAAACCCCAGATTTACACAGTCAGCTCTGTCTCTGTCTGTCCATCACCCTGTCTCTGTCTCTGTCTGTCCATCACCCTGTCTCTGTGATCTCAGCGCCCCCCTGAGGTTGGTTCCTCTCTGCTCCTCGATTGCTCTTCCTCATTGGAATCTAGATAATGTGCGACCCACCCTGTGCATGACACTGGGACACTGCCACACATGCACCCGCACAAACAACCATGCGGTGATCACATGCACACAATGGCGCACACACACACACAGCCCTACATGCTTACACTCGATGGTTAACACTCCCACGCTTCACAGGAAAAAACCTGGATTCCTGATCAAAGACACAGACATGTGATTAGTAACATAGAAATGTGGACATAGATGCTGTGATGACACAGACACATGATGCTGACAGATGTTAGACACACATTAGTACACATTTACATTCACATCCCAGCCACAGTCACACATCTGGTGCATGTGCGTGTGCATGTGCGTGTCTGTGTCTGTGTCTGTGTGTGTGTGCCTACCAACAGGGAATAATAGAGCGCTCCCAGTCAGAGAACAGTGGGGGTCATCTCCTGCCTATTCTTCCTTTCTTCCTCATTGCTTAAAATAAGTTCACTTGTAAACGGTACTGTCCCTGCATGTTCCTGCCTCCTCCCTACAACAGGCAGAGAGCCACATGAACACATACACAAATATAGGCAAACGTTTAATGCACATAAACACACAGGGAAACAGAGACACACACTGGTATAACACTTCAATACGTTACGACCGATTCATACAGAGTGGACAAATACTGTCATCCGTTGTATGCAAGTTAGTTGTATAAAATTATTAAATATTAGATTCATATATTACTCATAGAACATCTGTATACAAGGAATGAGTCACATTGGGAGACACCCGTAAAATGGAAACACACACACACACACACACACACACACAGACATATTTAGTTAAAGTCCGACAACTCATTCTACTGAATTGGCTTGTAGCATTGGCATAGACTGTATACAAGTAATGGACAGTGAAGTACTGGGTCAGACTGCATGTTTTTATGAGAAGGTTTTATAATAACCACAGAACTGTATTTAATCAGGTGATCTACTGCTGGTGGTCCAAAATAATAATAATAATAATTTTTCTAATCTCTATCTCGATTTGCAACACTAGTCCAGATTGAGACGTCTCTGTCCATTGCTCATGTACAGTCTCTGAACATCACACATACAGTACATTTACATTAAGATTTTTACTTGACTCTCTATACACAACAACAGGGCTGTTACTACATTAACACCATACGGCACACATGAAATTTTGACGACACAGGATGATAAACAGTGACAGAGGACAGTCGTAGTCTCTGGTCTTCGGAGACGTCCTACATGGTAGGTGTCTGCTGACCTTCAGTCTTACAATAGAGAACTGTAGGCATCCCATTGTGAACAATACCAAGCTTGTCCTCTCTCTCTCTCGTTTCGCCTGTCCACGACGAGCACATTTGACCTTCTACCGGTGGCTACGAATGAGAACAGAAACTCACAGCTTTGGTGGATATAAGGATCAGATCAGGGCTTGAGACGGGCGCGGTTCATGGGCACCCGTTATAGTACCACTGAAGGAGTCAAAAATTAAAAGAACAAAACAAAAAAAACCCAAGCAAAGCAGCTCCAGAAATGTGGCCGGTGGACGGATGGGATTGCACTTCTTCTGGCTCAAACTGTCTGTGTAATGTTAAAAATATATATAAAAATAAAGCAAAGAAAACTACATGATGGCCAAGTGCGAGGGGAGGAGTGAATGAAATGATGGGGGGGAGGGTGCAAAGGAAATAAATAAATAATCAGTATAGCAGGAGTCTCAGTGATGTGACTCTCCTGGTTTCCTGTGCCTCCTGGTCGTCACTGCTCAGCAGTGTTCCAAGGCACTTTCCCCAAAATCTTCACACCAGGATCATCACATCTGGGATACGTGGTAAAATCACCGGTTGTTGCTGTTCAAAAGCACCCGGACTCTGTAGATCGTTGGGGGTCGGGGTCTCCAGGCTGGGAAGTGATGGTGAGGTGGTGGTGGTGGAGGGGTGTTTCTTCTACCTTCTACCTCTGCCTTCTGTTAAGGTAGAGGATAACGGCTCAGGTTTGGGGGTAGCATTGGTGAAGGAGGGGGAGGTATGTGTCGGGGGGACAACAGAACTGAGGGAAAGGGGGCAGGTGATGGTGGGATGGAGGTGGTGGTGGTGGTGGGGACTCTCAAGAATAGATCAAGCTCTTGAGGAAGTGGACTGTGCCACGTTTGAAGACGAAGGGACAATCATGCTGCTGGGAAGCGTCTCGCATCGGAGAGGAAGCCAAACAACGAGAGGAAAAGCGCTCTGATTTTTGCACAGGAAGCCCAGCGCGCCTCCTGCCTGGGCCAGATAAGAGCGCTGTGGTTCCCAGGGCCAGACCCAGGAGTGGACCCAGGACTCAGGCGTGAAGACCCCCCCATCAGCCGGGCCCAGCCTGGTCCACGGTCCCTGGGCCTCCTCCAGCGCAGCGTCAGGCTCGCGGTGCAGCCGGGCTGCAAAGAACAAGGGCCTGGTGAGGTTCCAGCCAAAAACTAGACTAAAGAAACAGACTTAAGACACTGAAGCAGAACCAGAACAGAGCTTTTCCTTCAAGACATTGTACTGCACACACTTGCAAGGACATTGTGAAGGGTTTATTGTTTAGATCATATTTGTGTGGTTTGGAATTTTTTTTAGGCCAGATTTATTCACGTTAAAATACCTGCGGACCATCTGTCTTGAATTTGCAATGAAACTTTAGCATGAAATGAAATACACTTCCAGATGGAAGATTTAATTTGGCCCAAGTTCGACAGAAATTAGTAGTGAAGCGAAAACAGTGAACAAAAAGTATTGTTTTCTAAAAATAAGTAAAGCAACAAAATTGTCACCGTGAAAACAAAGAAATTAAAAGTCATTAAAAATACCTATGTACAAGTTATATTAGACATAAAACCAGCCGAAACGCAATACAATGTTAGCTTTTGGCTAAAGTTAGCCAAAAGATTGCATGTGACACTGCCGGCATGATGTTCTGTGGGCAGATTACTTTTGGCATCTGATGGATGAAACCAAAGTGGAGGCATCTGGGCATGGTGCCATGTCAGAGGGCTGGGGGTCAAGGGTCAAGTACACTGATGATGTCAGTAGTGGGTCTCAGAGGGGGGATAGAGAGTGGGCGGCTGCTGGGCTGCTCTCAGGTAATACTTAACCTCTGTGACTCAGTCAGTAGCAACACAATAAAGTGTCTGACCTTCAATCAATGTTCTTGCCAAGTGTCGGCTTTGACACATCAGTGTGCACAAGTGTGTGTGTGTTTGTTATTGTGTGATTGGGAGAGAGAGGAAGGGGAGAGAGAGAGAGAGCTGAACAAAGACTTGACTACAGCTCATAGAACACATTTACAAACCTCCAAAACAGAGGTTAAAAGGTTATTTATTTGTGAACCTTGATATGACAGTACAACTAATTTCCCCCAAATTTTCTCATGATGACTAAGGCTGATCATTTTCCTGGGAAAAATTCTGTCATTGAATGAAATGTTTTTGGAATTATAAAGTCATTCAACAGCCATTTCCGCTCATCATTTACTCACTTACCACTTCTTACAGCAAAAACCACTGTCTGCTCATAAATTAATGCATTTTTTGTTTTTTAAGGCGTGTCTGAGAAATAGGTTACAAAACATAGCAGTAGAACCAGTCATCATAAAATGGAAAAAACCTGGACGAACATTTACCGATAATGACGAAAAAGTACAATTTTAGTTCAAATCTTTAGTCAGAAACCTTGAGTTTTCTGATAAGAAGCTAAAGTTTTTGTAATAAATCTTTCAAATGAGAAAATACTAAATGACAGAAGTATAATTTTGTGGTTCAAATATTCAACTTATTTTGTGCATTACTCTTTACTGTATAACACTGAGTCCACTACTGCTGATGAGATCGCTGTAGAGCTGTTTGTGTGCATGTGTGTGTGTCAGATATAAGAAAAGCCATTACAGGATGCAGTGTGCAATCACAATAATAAACAGAGCGCTCACTCTACGTCCTGCACAGGAAATTCATTAAATCATAGTGTTTGATTTGGAAACCAACAAATCGTGACTAAGAGCACGGAGGTGGCCTCTATTGAAGTTTTTTTTTTGTCCTTTAAAGTCTGGGCTACAATGTGTACTGTGGCTGTGAATGTAACACAAACACACACACCCATACACACACTGCCACACACACTTCATGTTCATCACACATAAACAAACGTGGAAAAAAGAACGTACGGAGAGTTAGAGGACAAACATATGGAGTTAAACAGTCACGTAAACACACACATAGACCTGACGGAACACACACACACACACAAGTCGATGCCTATACGTAATAAATACACAATATAACACACAAACATTTTCACACATTTCCCCTGAACATGAAAGCCCCCCCTTTCCCTCTCCTCCCCCCCAAAGGCATCTGTTCTGGTTGCAAGAAGGAAACACTGTCTGAACACAAGCTGAAATAGACAAAACATGTCTCGTTTCTCTCACACACACACACACACACTCACACACAAACCAAAAGCAAACATTTTTGCTGTTTAGGTTTGTACATTGTGTAAAATAATTAGCGCCTTTTTTTCAATTTTTGGAAACCATTACTGGGCTGAGTTTTCCCTCAGTTTTGACTGACAGGCCTTTTTTGCAATTTTCTGTCAAATCTTTTCTGCATGTGTCAGCAGTCGTTTTTTTTTTCAAATTAAAGGATGGTATGTCTTTGGGAATTTCCCCTTCCCGTTATTGACCGCTCACTCCCTAACACCCCAACGATCTGTATCTCCATTTTATAACATATTGTCTGAAAATGCTTTCAGGTTTTCAAAAATCATTCATTCGTCCAAATCGATCATTAGCACAATGTCTTTAAAGACATTTTAAGCCTTTTATACAGGCACGCCACTGAATATCATATGGACGTCGTTTACTCTGTGCTGTACTGCTTACCGGCCTCTAGGTGGACAGGGATGCCAGAACCACGTGTTGAATGGTCGAGGGACTCCGTGAGACGTGCAGTGAAGTGCTTGTCTGCTCCCCCTCGGCACAGAACCTGGGTCCTGCACCAGGACTGCTTTCTCTCCTATCCGTGGACTCACTGTCACACAGAACACACACACACACACACACACACAGAATCAAGAGAAAAGATCCATCAGTGAAGGAACAGGATGTGGCGCTGATTCATTTGTGGAGGTGGGTTGATGGTTTGCTTCTCACCGTTGACTACAAGAGTCAGTGTGAAGTTCTGTTGAAGTCCGTGTTCCTGGATTCTCACTAGGACAGTGTACTTCCCAGCATCCTCCTCTGCAACGTCTCGAATAATGAGTGAATTTTCATCAACATGGTATCTGGAGCATTGTTCTGCCGCCACCCTGCCGTCCTTCAGCCTGGCAAACAAAAAAACAAACAAAACTAAATTACATTAAACAGTAGAGCAGTAAAAACTATGATTTTTTTTAAAATCTGAAACTTGTGTCTCACCAGATGACCTCAGGTTTAGGGAAGGCTTTTAGTCTGGCGACTCGATACAATTTCTGTCCTGCTTTAACCTCCAGCACGGATCCATTTTTGGGTTTCAGATGGATGAATGGTCGGTCTACGGTTGTGATTAAATGTAAAGTTGAGGATGAGAATTTGGTGCATATTTTTATTCTGTTAGCCATGACTAAAAAGTGAAGAATTTGACTCACCGTAGACGTTGACTGTAACGTTGGTTTTTTTGACATTTTTACCACTGCTGACTCGACATGTGTAGAGGCCTCGGTCTGTCTTCTTCAGTTTGGGGATGGTCAGAATGCTGTAGAACAACATGTGCGTTCTAAGATTCTGAATTTTCCTGGAAATGATCCCAGTGTTGTTTCTCTAAAATGTTAAGAAAGAAAGAAGTGACTGTAAAATAAATCTGTTTGTTGTTAAAATGTATATACCACAAAGACTAAGGGTCATCGTCTTCAAAGTAATCTTTACCAGACTCCAAACCTTTTCAATGAAGGCAGCCTGATGTCTACTGAAGGTCAAACCCACCCACGCACAGGCTCACATTTCCTGTTTGTGTCTACTGTTCTGATATCAGGACATAATGTTCAGAAAGTTGAACATAACTGACTGACCTTTCCTGGATAACTCCATCTGAAGGTCACTCTGGTGTTCAACTCTGCAGTGGCAGTGCAGTTCAGGACCAGTCTCCGTCCCTTCAGGTTCTCCACGGGGTTACTGCCGTTCAGAAACACCTTCATGATGTTGGTCACTGTTGGAAAGACAGTGTCAAAGACAGGGTGAGTCTGTGTCACCTGACACACGTGCTGCTGCTGCTGTTGCTGCTACTGACCTAATCTGTGGACAATGTACATTCTGGACTGGTGTGTGACTCCGTTGACGACCGTCTGGCAGTGAAAAGGGCCGGTGTGGAAGTAGTTGGGACTTTGGATGGTGAAGCCCTGTCTACTGTTCCAGGTGATGTTCCTCTGGTCCGGGCTCCAACTCTGGAGGTGGAACTTTGGAAGAAAGAAAGGGAAGAAAGACATCAAACTGTGTGTGGACCGAAGACAGGAATAAGTTAAATAATAATAATAATAAATTAAAGTAGAAGTTGCAGTAATTATTTCTCAGTGATGTGTAGAAGTTCTATAATAATTATGGTCTGGCTGAGTTTATTCTCACAGAGTTATTTTTACAGCCACCAGGACATTTGTCAAACTGTGTAAAACTTGTTGTGTTCTTGGACAGAGCCTTAAGGAAGTGTTACTGTGTCATAGTGGAAGCTTCCCACCCACTCTCAGGGGATCAGGTGTCACCCCCCTCCCCCTCCCAAACCACCTACACACCCAATTACAACAGTATTACACATACACTCCTGTGAACTGTCTGATCCTCTCTGTAACTCTGGATCAGCCCAGATCAGCCTGGACCATGTGACCAGGTACTGTATTCTATAGCGCAACTTTTTTTTCTGGTGATTTCCAAGTTTGACCAAAACACCCTCCTGTTTGGACTTGGTATCATCAGACAATAACACATTTTTCCTCATCTGAAAAACCTGATGTGGTTCAAAAAAATTCAGCTGGGTTCTGATGTATTTCTTTTATAAAAAAATCCAGACATAGTGGTTATAGTAACCACTGCATTCCAGAAATTACCACATTTAGTTGTTGCAATATATACTGCACAATACAACTCAACAAATGACAAAGACGTCAGACTACATACATCACCTGAACTTTCTGTTTTGGTTTCGAAAGAATCTTCTAGCAGTTTCCTTTGCTTTTTAACATGAGTGGTTATAGGTGATTTTCTTTATATTTATTTTATAATGTTTCGAATTAAAATGTTAGATGAATGAAAATATTAGATGATAAAAAAATGAAAATTAAATATTCTGTTAAAACTCCCAGCACTTTAAACACGGCTGTGTGAACTTTTTCATATTCTCTGGGGAGTCGTTGAGGAGAAAGTGGAGTTAGGATTGGAGAAATACGACTCCAGCCCCGCTTTGTGCATCCCGTTTCTTCAGGATATTGACATTTTCACCTGAACCCCAGGTTGACCCCGTCCTAACGGACCTCCGGGACCTGTTGGCTACTTTCAAAGCCAGATAGAGAAAACAGAGTCTCCTGCTTGTTGTTCCTGACTGGGACTGAATTCACTGGTTCAGACCGGTCAACGCAGGTTGGAGGAGGAAACAGGAGGACGAAGGAAGAGGAGTACCGCTATTTTTAGACTGTTCACAGTAGTGGCTCCAGACGTTTGTGAGGCAATGGACAGGAGACAAAAACATGTGTGTATGTGTGTTGTTGTCCAAACATGTCTTTTTGAGGATTATATTTAGACTGTGGTGATCCAACTGGAGTGACAGTCCTTGATCCATACATCCAGGATATATATATATATATCCTGGATAAATATATATATATCCAGGATATATACGTGTATATATATATATATATATATATATATAATATACATTTCACGCCCTCAGTGCATGGCAGGTTTTTAATATTATAAATGTATTTTTGTATTTAAACTGTCGGCCACCTAACGTGACAGTGGTGGCAGGTAGAATCACACAATATTACCATTAACAAGACCAGATTCCTCTGCACGTTTGACAGCTCTCCTATTGTAGTTCCATCACAATGAGCTTCCTCCAGTGACGCACAAGTCGTCATTATGTGATTGAAGAGAAAACTTTGATCTGTCAGGGGCCACCAGTGGCTTCCTACACACCAGCTGTTGAAGGTATCAGCTAAGGGAAGTTGGCAGCCAGGGATTTATCTAGGAGAGATGTGGGAAATGCCCCCAGCGTTGGGGCCGAAAGGGCACGTCACACCGTGTGTCCTGTCTCCAGAGGTAAACGCAAAGCTGCCGTGGGCAAAATGTAATGAGAAAAAGCCATCACAGGGAGGATATCCTCGGCCGTCGGACGGTTTTCTAGCAGATGGATCCATACGTGCAGGTACGATCCCTGGAGCTTTGACCTACAACTGCCAGGGGTTGAACATGCACACAAACAGATGTACTCTTACGCACATGTACCGTACTGTACTGGACTGGACTGGACTGTGTATGTCAGCAGACTGTCGACACACTCTTCTGTGCACTTAATAACTCTTGTCTGCTCTTCCCATCACTCAGCACTTAAGCACCGACACCGACAAACTCATCTGCACAAACTTTCACACAAACACACACACACACATATATATATATGTATATATATATATATACATACACACACATTTAGTGTCCTTCTTGACTGACCTTGACCAGTGTGGTGGTGACATTAGGGTGGGTGACCCTACAGGGGATAACCAAAGACTGCTTCTCCGTCAGGTACAGTACATCTGGGCTAATGTCAGGATGTTCCACAAATGGTTGCTGGCTGTCTGAAACAGACAAAGCACTGCGGTCAGGGACAAATAGAGAAAAAACATAAAGAATTACAATTATTCTGTGTTTATTTCCAGCATGTCGTTCATGTTTTTAATATTGGTACTGTATATATGGAAAATTGTGTCTTTTTTTCACACCACTTTCAGTTACTCCAGTACTGAACTCTCATACCTTTTAATAATAATAATAATATTAATAATAATTCAGTGATTAATTTTATTTCAGGCGACGTACAGGACTCTAACTCTCAGCTCTCAGTTCTAGCAGAGTTTGTTCAAAGTGAAACCCAGAGAAGTTGAATCCAGGTCAGAAATATAATCCCACTCAACCCACTCTTTGTAAAGTTTCTCATTCAGTGCATATGAAAATAGAAAGACTAGAAAGACTCCCACTGGTGGCTGGACAATACGAGGGGAGAGTTTAAAGAAACACTAAAAAATGACCTCCACGACTGAGTGAGAAAACTTGTTTCTTTTTCATAATAACTCTCTGTGAAGTGACCCTTTAATTTCAGGCACAAAGAGGAAAGAAAACAATCAGCAGCTCTTATGGAGCTAGGCGTAATAATCTGGACAACAAATAACAAACAGACACACACTGTGAGACACACAATCACGCACACTCAATACCTATTCAGCAAATGACTGCCGGCAGTCAACAATAAACACACAAATTGTTTAGAAGTAATCAAACGACTCCCTGCATGAGCGCTCTTACGGCTCTGTGCCATTCAAAGTGGTGGGTGTTGCTCCACCTCATTGTTTGTTACTGTAGGGTGTTATTCAAGGAAAGCAAATCTCTGAACATTTGAACAAAAGTACCCCTAGGACTAGTGAACTGAGGGCTTCCTTTTTCTCGCTTTATTCTTAATCGAGGGCTCGGGGAGGGAGGCAGCGTCTGGACCAGTCGCAGCCCAAGTCTGATGCTTAATGAACATGACGACCTGAGCGATTGATGGTCCCCCAGGGTCCTGTTGGCCAAACAGTAGCCTGCCCTGTGACCCTGGCCGTGAGCCCGGCACC